ATAGTGATTTTATAGAAACCACACAAAGATACAATTTCGAAAATCGAATACACGGAATTAATTTCTGATTTATACTTTTTTAACTATTCTGCAATTTCCAACTGACGTTTATAATTTTTTTCTGGCCCCAAGTTAGTTCTTACCAAGGTGGAACGATTCTGGCCTATTAGTTCTTACGAAGCAGTTAGCGGAATGAATATAAATACATAATATTGTATATAGAAATGTACATAACACTCACATTGAGTGGGACTCATCAAAAATAAAAAAAGGACTCATCAAAAATAAAAAAATCAAGTGAATCCCACTCCATGTGAGTGTTATGTACACCTTTATGTACATTTATTATATACTTGTAGCATTTTCCTAGCGGAATGGACCAAACTGATTAACAAACGAAACATAAAGTACCAAATTGATTAAGTAAAAACTTAGGGAAACAAAACAAAAAACAAATACTATAATTTAGATAGCCAATAAGCCAAAACGAACTTTTCTCATTATTTTCTCATAATTGTCCAGTTATCAACAATTACATCCCTAACAAGAACCAACTCTACCTGCCATGCAAAATCAACCAACTTGCTGCACAAAACACTTAAAATCTTAAAGGGAAGGCAAAGTCCGACTGAGACTGAGACTGCGACATGCTAATTAATTAAGAGACTTAGACAATTACATCTAATTAAGAGACTTAGACATGCTAATTAATCCACGTCTATCAAACGTTTGACTGGTCAAGGGCGGGGTCTCTTGTTGGTAGTGCAGCTGGGGCATTTGTACTGCTTCATGTGCTCGGCCCGTGCAGGTGTGATCTTCACACACTTGCCATGGAACCACCTCTCGCATATATCACAACAGATCCAAAACTCGTCTGCACTGTAATTTTCGCCACAAGCGCCACATAGAGTGTCACCATGCTCGTCCTCATCTTCATCTTCTTCATCTGCTCTCTCCTCCTCTCGTTCTGCCTTGGGTATTTTGCCCTAATATTATTATATTTTTTTTTTAAAAAAAAAACAAATGTTTCCTCATTGGACGAGAAATATGAGTATACACTTGTCAAGGACAGGTCAAAGTGAATGGAAAGAAGCGAATTTTGATTAAATTCCACATAAAACTATATGTAAATGAATATACTAACATAGAAAAGAACATCTAGTACTTGGACCACATTTAGATTCATATAGTAGTACACGGAGTATATGAAACAGTATGATGGCCTTTCATGAAACACTGCATGTCCTGAACAATAAAATCAACAAAGGCATTGTCATACCAATTTTGATTTCGACTTGGATTTACTGCTGCTATCGTTAGTCACACATGATATTTCCTTCAATTGCTTCTTTGCAGCACCAGTTACAACTTCAAAGATTGTAGGGAGATCATTTATCATGTTGAATAGGCGCTTCCTGCACACAGATTCCAAAGCTATAACAAAGTGGTGATACTTGACGAAATTTCAGTAGTTATAATTTACACATCCAGCAAAAATAAATATTGAAGTTGCATATCGACCAATGTGCAACCCAGACCTTGGTAAAATTGTAACAAATCATCTAGACATCACTTCTATCGATTATATTTGAACAGAAAACAAGCATGAATTTGATCAATATATGCGAAGAATGAAGAAAATGGAACACAGTTGCATCCACAAATCACTGAAGACACAGATAAAAACTCTGAAGCACACTAGCAAACGACAACTTGGAGGGAAATACTAAGTCACCTCTCTTGATGAAGTTAAGAATTCCCTCCACCATGAAGTTAAAGAGCAAGAAAGTTCAACAATGAACTAAAGGCATATGTTAAAAAAAGATTAGGGTAGCAAGAAGTTTATAACTTAAGAACAACATTACCTGTCAGCTTTCCCGAAACCAAATCTAACACCAAAGTAGAAAGTAACAGAGAGCAGCCATGCGTCACTTTGGCCAGCAACAAGAGCCAACCAGTCCTTTTCTTGCATTCCATCTCGGGTAAAGTTTATACCTAAAGCTGGTTCTGGAAGCTCTGGAGGCAGCTCTACAGCCGGCAAAACAACTTCCCACTGCCCACTAGGAAATCCATTTACTGTATACAGTCCAATGATTTGACAAAGACTTCATGTTTTTCCTTCTCTGCAATATGTCCATGTTTTGACAAAGACTTCATCAATTTACTGTATACAGTTCAATGATTTCACAAAGAAACATGTTTCAGGGACTAATTAGTAAAAACAATGTCATGGATGTGCTTCGTTGACAAGTGGATTGGAGCAGTCAATGGTCAAAGATATACAAGCATATGTATTTGAAAGAGCCATTAAGAAAAACCATGTAGCGGCTAAAGGTTTAGAAAAGACAGAAAAGAGCAGGCAAAGAATTTTTAAACATGCAGACAATAAGTTTTAAAAATGATAATAAAATGATAGGTGATGATAATGTCACCCAAGTCACAATTAGAATCTGCATAGTATGCGGGCAACTTAGTGACAAAATTTTATCCTCCAATAGCAAGCTAAACATTATTAATAGTTCAAATAAAGCTATTGAACATTTCAGTTCAAACTAAAAGTCTATTAAGGCCAAGGTTTTTCTCTGTGGGTTAGAAATTGAACATTCATATTTTCATTAAATCAATATATATAAGAGATGTTAGCTATCTGCACACTAAAACGGAAAAGTTGAGAACATTGCTACTACTAGGATTCATGCAGCAACTGTTTCAAGACTCTGTGTGTGTGTGTGTGTGTGTGTGTGTGAGAGAGAGAGAGAGAGAGGGAGGGTGGGGGAGAGAGTTTGCGTTCAAAACTTCAAACACAACCATGAAAGAGTGTCAAGAGTAACTAAGTCTAATAAAAGTGAGAAGACACGCTCTTTATGTAAATTAATTTAGTACCACGAAATGCTACTTCAAAAGAATGCACCTTATCATCAAATTCCACACATATATTTATAAAACACATAACCACAATTTGAACTATAGCCACTTTCACCACCATGTACTTGTTAAAGAACCAGACGACAAAAACTGCCAAATAAATCCCAACAAAGCAACAGTCTAGATTTAAGAACTCATGTGACAATAAACCGACCATAAAATTCGACACAATGAAAAGGTATACTAAATCATTAATTAGCTAATTAACACTGAATAACAGTCCAGGATGTGAAAATTCCACGTACGAAAGCCAAAAGAGAACCCCGAGAACTCACCAGGATCGCACCGCTGAAAAAATTCTTCAACGTCTGTAAAAGGAAAACACGATAATCAAACCACATAATTTTCAGTAAATTTAAAAGGAACAAATCCTTGAACAAACAAAGCCCCTAGAGCTCGAAAAATAAAAGCAAAGAGAAAGACAACATTACAACTAATAGTGTTCGAAAATAGATGAAACCACCAAAAATTGGGCAAACTTTGAACATAAAGAGCACAACCAACCACCAAAATTGTACCTGTGGTGAGAGCTTTGATCAAGCCATTACGCCTGCCCTTGAAATCTCTGAAAACATCTTCCACCATACGAGGATTATAGGGTGCACCACCGTCCATAGATCCTCCGTACACCTCACCTCACCTGCACCGGGTGTGTTTTGCTGTTTCTTTTCCCGCAGTTTCGAAAGTAATAAAGCTCATGAGAAGAAGGGCAAAGGAAACTGAGGGCAAGACTGGAATTAAAGGATTTTAACTGGGACTATTTGGGGATGGCAAAATAATGAAATTTTGGAAGTGGATAAGATTTTAGGGCGTGCACGGTCCATCTAATTTCACTTCGGTTCGGTCCGTACATAAAACATAGGTAAATTACTCATCTATCTATATATAAAAAGGTTGTTGGTTAAATCATGTTTGGAAATTTGTTACCAAATAAATAATACCTTTGACATTCTATTTATAGAAAGCTTGAAAACAATAATAGTGTAGTTTTTTTTTAATCACAATTTGAATTCAAAATTAATGGTGTAGAGATAATATTGGAACAATAATTTGTGGATAACTCATGATGGAATTTGTGGATAACTAACTACTAATTTAAAAAGATTTTGATAAATCTTCATCAAACACTTATTTGATAAATTTGTGGATAACTAAACTATTAATCTAAAAAGATTTTGAAATGGCTAAGCTTATGTATTAATATCACAACCCTAGGAAAAAAAAAGCATAAGTGAGCTCATTTATTTTTTATACTAAAATAAAGAGATATTACCAAATATAATTTTTGTTTAATTTGATGGACAAATATCAAATCATTCCAAATTTTAATAATGTACGCGAATATCATTTCAAATATTTAGATAATATCATTCTAACGCTCCAATCATTTAATATCGAGATATTTTTTTTCACCTATTAAATTAACACTTAATTTGCCTATAAATAACATACACACTCTGAATTGTTATTGTATCCCCACTCATCAAAAAATCAAGCAAAACATAAAGAACAAATAGATATTATGTATTGATATGAAATCATGAGACTCATCAAGCAAAACACCATGAAAACTCTACGCAATCCAACTCTTTTAAAGGATAAATGTATCTTTTTCAAACAAAAAGATATTGAAAAATGATTTTTTTTTTATGGGTATGAAAGTCGAATTTTAGGTTGATTAAAATCAAGGTAATATGTTTCTCAAAATTTAGCATATTTCTATAATAACTTGCCAAAGAATTCTAATGATAATTTGACAAAATGGTATGTATTCCTCTTGAAAATTATAAACATCTTTGAACAAATATTGGTTAATAAAATTTAAAAATTAACCGACAACAACTCTAGAAAATTGTGAGATAATATGTATATAAGGGAATTTATATATAAGGGAATATATATATAAGGAAATTTATCGTATAGTTCAAATTTGGGTTTCAAATTTAAAAGTCAAATAAATAATTATTCATAACTTACGTGTCAATATTAACTTAGGCATAAATGAAATAGTCAATTAATTATAGTTTAATAAATTACTCAACAACTTAAATTTTTTTATTTTGATAGTTTATACAAAATTAAATTCATTTTAATTAATGAACACTATAAGTTTTATAATTGTACTTATTATTCACATAGATTTTTAAATATATGATAAAATTTTACCAAAAGAATTATTTTATGGAATCACATTGTAGTCCAATCGAATTTTTGAATAAATATTTTAAAATGACACTTATTTTGAAATAAATATAATGTAATTTATTATCAGTTACGTGCACCAGGTTGTATACTAATTAAATTGACATATTTTATGTAATTTTGCACGATATGAAATTTATATAATATTTTCAATAAATTAATATAGGTAAACGTATTACATATTGATTCAATATTTTTAATTTATAAATATTATATAATAATCATTTTTAATTTATAAATACTAATGAATATCTCTTACCCGTGCATCGCACGGGATTCGTACTAGTTAGTATTAAAACTATGGTATAATTTTAATTTTAATATCCCACATTTAAGCTATTTTACCCCACAACTATTAAAACCCTCACAATTTTCTTACTCAGCAGTTGGGTTACTCTTCCTTAAACCTAACAATTTTTTTTTCTATTCCTTGTTAATTAAATAACAGGAAATTACTAATTCAATATTCAAACTAAGTTAAAATATTGATATAAATATCCCACATTTAAGCTATTTACCCAAATTATTAAAATGTTTACAATTTTCATGCTCAACATTAAGTTGCTGTTAACACAAACGTGATTCAATTATTTATATATATATATATATATATATATATATATATATATGTGTGTGTGTGTTTTAGTTTCTTGTGAGTTTTAATAATAATTTAACGGATGAATATAAAAATTGCTATCATTTTAATAGTTAAGCATGAGATAATTTAAACGCGAGGTATTATTATTGAAATTATACTTTAGTCTGGATACTTATATGATATTGAATTTTCCATTGACCATGACAATCGAAAAATTGAAATAGTTCAAATTCTACCCCATAAGTTGTGCATTTATATCTAAGATTTATAGTCACAACTTTAAGTTCAACAATATTTGATTAATCCAACTTTTAAGTTTTGGATTATATTATTTGAAAGAGTTATAAGTTTGGCAATGACGTTCAAAATTATTATAAGTGAAGATGTGATTTTGCAAGCTCGATTATAAAAGGAAAGTTCTTTTATGTTATTCTATGATCTCGATTTTCTTATATATATATATATATATATATATATATTTATAAGAGAGTCGATTTTATATCATCTATGTGATTTATATTGATCTTGTTATTTAAGGAATGGATATGCATGGACTAGAAAGAGTAGCGTGCATCATGAGGAGATCTTGGAATGAGATAAAGGAGATATACACTTACCATAATTCTTGGCACCTACTTTGGAAGGAAATCGGAAAAAGAAAGGAATACTACTTGGAGATGACTCCACGCCTAGGGTTGTATAAATACCCTACTTGAAGATTGAAGACGGCTGTTGAAATTATCATTAACCAACATATTCTTCAAGCTTCAAGTGCTTTTGTGATTTTAGATTGTATCCAGTTTTTATGTGTTCTTACGAAACAAAAGACTGGAGTTGCGTTATATTCTTTTAGTTGGTTTTTTATTTGAACTTTATCGTGTTTAACACTTAGGGATTAAGTGTTGATCAGAAAGTCTACAGGACGTGGCCAGAGAAGTAGTTGGTAGATTCGAGCATAGTTGTGGCTAGGCTAGAAGGGAGTTCTAGTTGTCATAAGTCCGAACTATGTCTAATCGAGTTATCAATGAAAGAGCTCTGATGGGAAGTGGGATGCTTCCCTGAAGAGTTTTTGTATCTTCGGTTTATTGCTTCCGCTATTTTAATTGTTTACTCGTGTTTTTACAACGTTGAACGCACTCTCGCTAAATATATGTTCCATTATTAAATATAAATCTTTAAGTTCACAACTTTAAATTTAAAAAATTATCTAGAATGCACAATGTGATCAAACATAATATTGTTCACTTGGCAAAAATAAAAATATTATAAATAAGAAACAAAAAAAAAAAAAATAGATATTTTAAAAATGGTAATAATATTTATCTCTCATCTCTCAATTAGTTGATTGGAATGTGAAAGAGAATGTGGATAAACCACATTCTTCTCTACATTGTGGACATTAATTATGTTCACCACATTACTATATTCGTGATTACATTGTGCATTGTACGATTAAAAGTGGAGACATTGCTAAATTTGTAACAAGCACAATGCACAATGTAACAAATTTGTAACAAAGTTAGCAATGTCTCCATTTTTAATCGTACAATGCACAATGTAGCCAACAAGCACAAACTAGTCCACAAGACATAAAACACCACAATCCACAACCCATACAAAACATAATCCACCTCACATATAACACTCCACACACCAAACCACATAAGTTTTCAGCAAAAGGTGAGAATTTAAATGATTTCTGTTCTTGGGGAAAGCACAAAAAACAAAACCAGGAAAATCACAGTCATGAAGAAGCCAAGGATGAATTGCCGAGCCCGTGCATTAAATTACCCACTCACCGCACCACCGAAGCATAGTAAGCAAAGCCTCCACCTAGCGTCTGGACACCCATACTAGATGGGCCCGTGTCTTCACCAGTCAAGGGGCCCATATTGTAATTCGAGACGTTATTGGGCTCAGAATCGGGCTGCTCCTCATGGGCCTTCCTTGTGCTTAGAAAGCGCCCACCGGACCCCCTAACCCTATTCACCGCGTGCTGATGACGAGACTCGTGCAGGTACGGCTAACACAATTTGTTCGATGAATTACGGTTAAGAAAATCGAATTATAAAATCCCGGACATTTTTTTCTAGCATGATGACTTACTTTCCTGTTCTTGACGAGTTTGTTCTGAGCCTCGAGCTTGGCGCGTATTTGTCTCCTTCTAAGTATGCCATGGTACTGTTTTGCATTGACGAAAATCGGACCATCCGCCGGAATATCGGCCGGCAGAGGAATCCGGCCAGTGGCTGCCGCCATGACCTGCGCCGGAATCTGGCCGAGCAACAATATTTGATTAATCCAAAACATTAAAAGTAAATGAACGGAATAACGTAATATTTGGACAACTCGGAAATTAGCCTCACCATGTTACGAGGTCCGTAGGCAGTATAGAATCCACTAAGGTAAGGGTCAGCATAAGCATATTGGAACTGCAGCTGAGGCACAAAAAGTGACCATTTCACGTTATATATGGAAATTTAACAACGAGATTAAATTAACTTAATCTTTAGGAGAGCAACTAATTACAATTGATTGGCTCATTTCAGGTTGTGTGACAATATTCATGGATAGCTCGGGATTCTGTGTAAACAAGGCAGCCCTCCTGTAGCTTTCGACATGAACTGAATCGAAAAGCAAATTTTTCGAATCTCATTAGTAATTTGGAGGAAATAAAAAAGTTTGCATTTACATACAGAGGCAGAGCATAGTAATATATATACACCATGTCACAGAGTCTATGTTTTGCCAACATGATAAGTAATTAGAGTTGTTGTGTGTATGTACATTTCATATGATGTTTTGAAGAGCTTTTTGTTATTATATACTCTCTAGGCAAGGATGTAACAAGGATTATAATTCAACTGGTCGAAAAGCAGTATTAAGTAATTACCAGAATCTGATGAAGCACACTGATCTTGAGAAGTTTTTCCCATGATAAGATAGGCTGGCCGATTCAATTGAAGAAGTAGCCACCTAACTAAATTCAACATATTCACCATTAAATTCATGGTCAGAGTACATAGAATGGGCCTAATTTCATAAAAATCTATAAGGCTCCGTTTGTTTTGTTTTGAGGGAAGAGAGAAGGAAAAGGAGAAAACAAATTCAACAACTAGTGACTTCACAAACCTAACCTCCCATAAAAAATTAAATCATCTTAAACACGGAGGGTTTTAACCGTCCGATCACACTCACACACCCATACGGGTATCTGAAGCACAAACTAGTATCAACAAAAAAGAAAGAACAAATAAAAATAAATAAATAGACAGAGACCCATATTCAGCTTGCAACAAGTTTCGGGTAGAAACAACAAATCTGTAAATCTAGCACAAGAAAATCAACAACTTTAGTCAAGAAGAAAACATGTAAAGTAAAACACACAGAGAAAAAAAGATGTTGATCATGAAAGAGAGGTTATAATTATTTATATAGAGAGAGAAAAAGATGAGACATTGAGAGACAGATGTAGAAGGACCTTTAGGATCTGCTGCCAATATTTGGAGGAGCAAACAACACAACTGTTGGGATGAAATTGGGCATGTTTTTTTCGCTCTCCACCAAAATCCTCCCCTAAAAATATCTTCTTTTTTTTTTTCTATACAACTATTCCCCCCAATTATGAATATTCTCTCCTAATAAAATGGTAGCACTATATATTGCACAAATAAAAAAGAAAAGAAAAATATATAGATATGAAAACAGGGTACCAAAATAAATAAAAGTTATAATAACAAAGAGGCACACTACCACCCACCACCAGAACCATTGATGGCATCATACATATGAACTCCTTTTTACTTATTTATTTATTTGGTTTTAGTTTTCTTCAAATGCAGTTTTGTTTTTTAGCGTTTCTTGTTAATGTCATTTTCTAGTTGTGGGCCCCGCCATGTAAATGCTTCCCTGGGGTGGAATTCAAGATAGGGACTTTTTTTATGTTCACAAATTCACAATATGGATTTTAACCATGACCGTGACATTGCTCTCTGCCTACTTTGCAAATGATTTGTCGTTTCCCACTTAAATCTTGGCAATAAAGTGCATTCAGTTTGCCATCAACACGTCTTCCCTTTTCCATTAATTTTAATTTATATGACCAAATTTGCTCCTGGCTCCTCTGAAAAGCCACCCGCTGAAAAAAAAAAAAAAAAAAACNCGAACCGCTGGGCACAGAAGACCACGCGAGGGGTATTCTTATAAATACGTAATCCGGCAGAAGCACCACTCTCATGAGGCTGGAGCGTGTAAACACCGCCAATCGTTCTTGTCCGAGTAGGAGTTGCGTCAGCAAGATGACGTAAGGCGCGTGGCTCAACAGTGACATCGCGACAGAGAAAGTTGACAGGGCGGCAGACAGTAATTGTAGGGAACAGTGGATGCCTATGTTAATTCAACTCAAACGATACTCACAGATATTTTTCTTAAATATTTGTGAATATAATACATATATATAAAAAATTTCCAAAAGACTTTCAAAATTTTTACGTAACGGTTATTCTTATTATAAGTAGATATATAGATATAGATTTTGGACAAAAGAAAAAGTTTAATTACGTTAATGTTATATAGATTATAGATATGAAAAAAAAATATAAATCCCACAAAACAAAAATTAAAAGTTGATTGCAACGTACAGTAGGTAATTTCTTCTTTATTATTAGCTCTTTCAGAACTTTCAATATTCTCTATTTTATTTCTTTATTTGTTTCTTATGACATTATTTCAATAAAAAAATATAAAATCCCACAAAACAAAAATTAAAAGTTGATTTCCTTTTTTGTCTTTTCTCCTGTTTCATTTAGAGTTTGAAGTATTTATATATGCCTCTATGACATTATTTTGAGCGTAGTCAAGATTTGGTATTCTGTTTTAAGAGATCATTAGTTTATTAGAAGTACGTTTTTCTTCTTACAGTTTTTCTTCTAGGCTTTATCATCTTGTGCTCAAGGCATTCATTCATAAACCATGAAGGGGGCTAAAACTGAAAATAAACAAAAAGATTTTCTTTGGACACTCCAGCCAAGCAGCTTGTACGAAAACTGATCAAACCCGCATAAACGTCACAAGTCGCAAATCTACACTGTACAAATGATTACAACAGAACATTTCCGTTGGAGCCCACCTCTCTGTACTCGGCCATCTTCCCATGCAATGGCTTGCCATCCGTTAGTCAGTTAGATACCACATAGTTAGACTCAATACACGATTCACTATCAAACTCCACAAAACACTAGCAAAATCGCGGGAAATCAAAGCTTCTTCAACCTTCTCTCTCAAAACACCAAACAAGTGAATCTCCGAATATACTTTCAAGTACCCGAATGCAAACTCTGGCCGACCAAACCCAATAAAACCCATCAAACCACCTCCGATTTGCTCGTCAACCTCCCACACACACAAACCTATATGTACTTTTTCACTTTTTACAGTTTCAGCTTAATCCTATCCGACCATTTGAAGATCTCCGAATGCACCCTGTCCCCACCCAAATCCTCCCCGCCACCTCCCGCCGCCACCCGGATAATATCCTCAATCAGGGCAGAGTTTCCCATGATGTCCACGTGGGCCCCACTGTTTGTTCCCCTGCCCTCAAGAAGTGTCGAGGGAGGAGTGTGTCTGTATTCCCTAACAAAAGTGCGTGTGCCCGAGGGATTGAACCTCGTCCTTCCGCGCCAAAGCCTGGCGCACGTGAACCCGGCGCTCAGGACAGGGACTGTCTCGTCTCCATCCACAGAGTAAACCCCTCCTTTCAGACAGTGGCTGTGGTCCCGGCCCTCGGCCGACGAGTCGATCTGGAAAGGGATGAAGCAGTCCGCGGCAGGGCTGAATTTGTACACGTATGCTCGTTCAGTTGGGATCCCGACTCCATACATCGAGAATATCTCCATGTCGGGAGCATTTGGTAATCTGCAAAAAAGTGGGCCACGTGAGCATTATGAGAAAACTGAGAAGATTGGAAAAAAAAATAAAAAATGCGGGTGAGTTACTTTGTCTCTAGGGGGTTTGACCAGTATTTGTAGTGATTATATTTTTTGTCATTCAGGTTGTCGGCTATTCCGTATGAAAAGTGGGCCTCTCCACGCTGCATCATCTTTGGCGCAACGTAACGAAGAAGATCCAAGACTGAACTAGCTGTGTACACTTTATGATCTGCTACTGCTTTGATTCCCTCAATTCCCATGTCGTGGTACTCTGTCCATACAGCACGGCAGGTCATGTTTGCTAAATTTCTTCCCTTCAAAGCACCCTATGAGAGTACCCGAAAAAGTCTTATCATAAATAAATGAATTGAAGATTTTTCTTTGATATCAGTGATGGAAATTTTGTGTTTTGGAGAAAGTCTGTTTGCATTCAGGATACAGAAATATGTAATGGTTTAGGAAAGTGGGTTATTAAAATAAAGACTACTGAAAGCTGGCCAAGAAGTCACCCGAAAGTCAATACGCTCGATCTTTGATGAATGTAACTCCGTGACATCCTTTCCGAAGGATAATAATCTTCCATACTTCACACTGCTAAAATTGGGCAAATCAGTAGTCTTGTTATGTCGTGATTTTTGGTTGTCGTTGATTGTCTTCTTTGAATTGCACTTGTGACTTTCTTCAGGGGACCAATCAAGTCCACCCCAGATAGTTTCCCCACCCTTTAGCAACAATGACATAGCTGAGTCCCAAGTGCGAGTCATTCGCATCACATGCTGCAATGTTTGAAAACCAAATATATCCTTATCCATAATACCTGGCGCAAGGGCCCTGCATGTGTTCAAATAATTTATCATAAAACAATAACTAAAAGGGTCACATCCAAAGTTAAGAGGATATCCTTGCTTCAAGAATTGATCAAAAGACAAACTCAATACAGCGAAACAGATTTATAGTGTTAAGAAAAATATCTAAAACTGACCAATCAAAAAAGTAAGACATGTGACCTTGCAACTGCTATATCCTTGGCTTCGGCAGAGAACAATGATGTAACTGCCTTAGGAATACCCAGAAAAGGTCCACCGATGTTCATTACAGCCTTTATGTGCCTAGCGCACCAATTTGGCCCACCACCACCCCCCATTGGTGCAGGTGCCTCGACCCATTTCATGAAATGCAAGAAATACAGAGCACCCATTGAATGTGGCACAACCACCACCTTCTTACCTCCGTTGGTAGCAACCATGAGCTCTATGTTGCTTTTTATCCTGCTTAGAGTTTGGTCCCGAACCTAATGGTTTAATATGATGAAAAAAAGAAAAAAAAAAAAAATCATTCACAAGAGTGCCACAAAAAGATGAAAGTGCAAAGGGAATAATCACAGCAACAAACAAGTTTACCAAAGCTTTATAAATTTAATCAATAACATGTGATGTTAAAAGCACAAGGCTGGCCTTCTCAATAATATAATGGAATCTTCTCATGAAAATGTCTGCCAAAACTATAAATAGGCCATATCCTTTAAAGATTCTAAAGATACAGGATTTTGCATAAAAGGTTTTGCGTTTTGCAGTATTAAATATTTGGTCGTTCTATTATCTTATTTACAGTGTTAAAGAAAGTCGTGAACCTCGGTATTTTGGAACGCCAGCCTCCAATCATAGGCAGCCATAAACATATTTTTGTCTTCATATCCAATATGAGCCAAGTTGGCAATTAAAACTGCCCAAACAAAGTAACCTGGTGCAAAGTAATCAGCTGCTACAAGGCCAGAAACAGGACGGATCTTTATGCCCAGAGGATCTAACCCAGTTTCATTATTCAGTGACATATGCTCAACCCAGCACAAGGGCCTATTACATGGTGAAACTATCGGTTAGAGAATATANTACGAAGTATGAATATATAAAACGAATGAGTAATTGCTAAAAACAACACCGTTAATTTTGTTCGAAAGGCCCTTGCTATTCTTTATCGGATGACCCGAAAAATATAAATGTACACATTACCAAAAGAAAAACAAAAAGTGGTTCTATTACCATGGGTGGTTAACAGTTATCTCACATATCCCCGTTTATCATACACTTTGCAAAAGTGAATATGAGCAAAGATTTCACAGGGGCATGTAAATACTATCTTCTTTTTTGATAATAATTAGTGAGAAGAAGCCATTAAAGACTATGTTTCTATCAAGAACTAACAAATATAGAAACTCTATTGAGTCCCTGCGACATAAATACGCAAAAGCATGATGCAAATTGAAGTGCACAAAAATGAAACGTTGTCCAGTCCACAATCACTTGTTTCTCATCAAGTTTCCATGCTAGACCAGAGAAAGCATTCAGCCTTTAAGCACGATAACACTTGAGTCCATAAGTTACTAGTACCATCTTTTCCAAAAATTAACCTCAACAATTGAATAGAATAAACGAGTTTCTTATTTATAGCAGTGTTGACAGCGACCTTAGGAGACAGAAACTATTCACAATATTACACCAGATAATAATAGCACTGGAAAGCTTGTCCAGTTACTTCTTCACAGTTAGTTAGCATGCATCATTAACATTTTTCTTCAGTTGTAAATGCGAAGCTTCAGAGAAGAGTATTATGGTTGTCACTAGCGTTAACTATAGAATTTATACCTAGGTCAACCAACAAAATGAGAAGAATAAATCCAGAAAGAAGTAAACCGCATCATTAGACCACACCATATGCTTTCATCTGCAATTGAATCGGCTAGTTCCACTATCTGCAGCTAGCATTCATCTGAATGTACAGATATACTATCAGGTATCAGCTGCAAAAAGCATAATATACAGATACTAACTACAGTCTCCAAGTTCTTTTAGCCTCTCAATTAAAGGCAGAAACTTTATAGTCGCTAAACTAAATGTAAAGTCCTTTTAGCCCATTTTGTGGAAAATGTGTTTCAGCTTTTTCCTGAATTATCCATTCAACTTCCACTTTCACTTCCCATTAAATACATCAATTCTCAAAGTCCAGAAAGGAATGTTCACGTCAAGACTAAGTACTGTGCCAATTTGTTTGAAAACTTGCCCAACTAACTACGTATAAGCCATCATTCTCAGGCCAAAAGGGCTGCAAACGTATTTCCAGAGTATGGTTAGAAAACCACCTTTTTCCATGAAAAATGTCCAATCATGTGTTTTAATAACAATTAACCTCCAAACAAATTCATACCAAGTAAACACAGAAAAGCAACCATTCATTCATTACCCGGTGCTGTAAAAAAAGAACAAAAGACATTGCAACTCTATTTACTTGTTTTTTTCCACATGCATTGCCTAAGAAACCAATATCCCACAATCGCCACCTTTAAATTGCTGCGAACAAACTTCAGATACAAATCACAAATCCATACAGACATTTCTTCAAACAAGCAAACTGCACGCATCACATACCTCTTGTAGACTTCGCCAAAGGTGCCGCCCCAAAGCCTCTTCCTGAACAGCCCCTCTGAGCAGGCGTGGCCTTCCCACAGCTCGAGCCCGCCCGTCACAATCCCCGGCACGAACACCACAGGGTGCAGCGCTTTCAGGCCCTCCCTTGCCAGCCTCGCTCCCGGCGGCTCCGTCGCCGGGCCGGCGATCGCCTCCGTCAAGTACAGCGGCAGCGCCGCCGGCATCGCGCTGTAGAGGAAGAGCAGGAACCACCACATCGAGCATATGCATCCAACGAACCAGCAGCAGTTCCCGGCGCAGCCCCAATTATTCCTCGATTCCCTCGCCGCCGGTTCAGGTCCGAAATCCGAACCCGATTTGTCGTCCGATTTCTCAGGCGGCGGGTTGTCGGACATTTTGGCCCGTCTACGCCTCAGCATCGCCGATTATTGTATGTATTGGGGGGAGCGTATGTTTCTTCGCCGATCATTGACGACATGCATAGTTTTATGTGTAGAACTGTAGAAGGACAAGCTTCGTTTTTCCTTTTTATTCTTTTAAATTTAATACATAAATAAATATGAAGATTCTGTCGAATCAAATGAGCTGGAGATCAATATTTATGAAGGGTTCGGACGTATGATCGTCTGTGGCGGGTGCAATAAGTTGATGAATCGAGGAAGTTGTGGATCGATTTTTGGGATTAGGGAAGTCACACGTGAACCCGACTGTGAAGATTGTAGTAAAAGTAGAACTGTAACAAACTCAACGTTCGCGAATAGGGGCGGATCTAAAAATTTTGTTGAGTGTAGGTCTAAAACTATTTTCGAGAGATGGTAAAATGGTCTAAAAAAATAATATAATTTTTATTTTTTAAAATTGATTTATGTAAAAAAAATACATTGTGATTTCTAAACTCATAAATATAATTTTAAGTGCTTTATACTCAAAATATTCCACAAACTAAAATCTATTGTCCAATATCGTTTAAGTGCGATAGAACATGAATCTCAGAATATATTTTAGAAATGCAAACAAAATTAGTATCATAATGTTCGCATATTTAGAAAAATAGATTGGATCGAATTGGTCGTAGCTGAAATCAATCGGTTGATCAATTTGGTTCGAACTGGTAAAAAAAAGTTCAGAACTGTCCAATTGGATGGATCCAAGTTTTTTCATTTTGAATAATAAGTTTTGATAATATATTTCTCAAATAAATAAAAATAGATATTTAAATACTGAATATTTATAAATTATTATAGTGATTAGTTTAGAGATATGAGATATTTAAAGTAATATATATTTATATACAAATTCAAGTGTTGACTAATGAACTTGTAGTTTGGTTGTTAATTCCTGAACAAATAAATATATAAAAACAAAAAATGTAATTGAAAAGTGAACTAAAAATAAAACCATATGATCACCTTTTATTTTTATTGATCTGCAAGAGTCTTGTTTGCTTATGAGTGACCTATTAAAAATAATTGATTTTACATCTAATGTAAACTTTTTTATCCAAAATTTGAGTGAGGGGCTAGGCCCACACTGGACTCAATCTACATCCGTCCCTGTTCGCGAATAAAGCTCGTTCGTTTGGTAATCAAACCGAGTTCGAATAAAAAAATAGACTCCTTCAATAATTGAATGAACACGAGCTCGTTCGTAAACGTTCGCGAACATTAATTTAATATAATTTTATTTTATTTTTTATATATTTACATAATATTTTTAATAAAAAAATCTATAATATCAAAATATTTTTATTTTATTTTTGCAATTCCGAGTTTGAACAAACAAATTTCGAGTTAATCAAACATATTTAAAAAAATTATGTATTAAATTATTCGAACACGAACGAACTCGAACTTTGACGAACAATTAAACTAACGAGCTCGAACATGAGTTTTTTCTCGAAAAATAAACGAACGAACACGAATACTGTTCGAACGTAAACGAACATGAGCTCGAACAGCCCAAGCTCGGTTCCATCCAGTTCGTTTACTGCACTAAGTAAAAGTAATATGGTTCTTGTTCGCCTTGATCTTTATCTCAAACACAACCAAACTCAACTAAATAATTAAAAATTATTTTTCTTTCTTCCACTTAAACAATCCAACTTTAACCCAATTTTAGACTATATTTACCCCTAATTCAACTTAATAATTAAAACTTAATTCTCTCTTCTCCACCTACACAATAAACCTTACAACTCATCTTATTTTTATCTCCAACTCAACCCAATCTAAAATATTTATTTTATTTTATTTATTTATTTAATAAGTATTATCTACAATTGATTTTTGTTATTATTTTAATTGTGACAAATTAATTAAAAAAATCTATAATTAAGGTTGTAATGATTTCAAAAAATTAATATTTTACCATACAATTAAAAAAATATGAACTCCATTAAAAAATAAAATTACAAAAATTAGAATAAAATATTATAATTAATTAAACAAGTTAGTAATTAACTAGCAAAAGAGTGATAAGAGAGAAATTGCAATTGTATTCCAAAATCTATCTTCTATTTATAGAAAATGGAAAAAATACAAATTTTGATATTTTTTATTTTTAATATAAATTAACTCCAAATAATGTAAATTACTTTTTTATCTTATCTAAGACATACACCTGTCCAATAGAAATAGGACAGTTATCACATTCCCAAATTGATAATAATTATTATTATTTAATGTATTGTTATAAGGTAAAAATAATATAAATATAATTTAAATTTTATATATAAAATTAATTACTTGGTTTAGCAATTGGCCTGATGACCCGGTGATTGGACCGGTGACCCAGATTCCGGCCCGGGTCAACTGGTCAATTATCGGTCCGGGTTTTGAATCCATGGTTTTGTATAAATATTCGTTTTCTCTTTTAGTTTTTCCTTTCTGGCCCAAACGAGGGACAAGAGCTCATGGGATGATCACGATGCTGCGACGTACTGCTCAACCAATAAATTTATTTCTCTTGTCTCTGATTATCAGCAAATACACAGCTGCAACAATTTAATTTCTGTTAGTTTGGCAAAGCAACACCACTACACTAGCCATTACATCAGATATATGGAAAATTATTAAAAAACAAAAAGAAAACCAAAATAATTGTCTGTACTAGAAAAAACAACTAGAGTCATCAAGACACATGGGTGCTTTCATCACAACCCTTATGCGCAATGATTAGTCACCCACATTCCATACTCTTGTTTGTTTAAAAATGGATATGAAAAGATAAAAAAAGAAAAAAAAAAAATTAGAAAAAGAAATCACACACACGTACACACAGTCTTAACAGCTGAAGAAAAGATACTCGATCAGCAGCAACTTCGTGAGCTAATAGAAAGAGTTTTTGAGACGGTGCGTAATAGTTAGACATGTTGATATGTCATATTTTTTGAATAAAAAAAATATAATTTTATATGAAATGTTATACTTTTTTTATTTTTAATATTTATATATCATTTTGAAAATACACATGTCTATTGAAATGAATGTGCACTAACGATTAGGCCAGCAGGCAGCAACCTAGCACATAGTAGCAACAAGATGAATTTCTATATATAACAAGTGTTTCAAAATAAAATTATATTTAAAACATTTTTTAACTCATGGCCATACTTGAGATTCCGCCGATAAAAGTTCAACTTATTGAAAAAAATGATACCACGCTCTTCCTTAATTATCTAAATAGATCTCATTATTAAATATCCAGCAAGATCATAATGTTAATTGACTAAAATTTGTATCTCCAATAAGCAAATATGCAATTACACATGCATTATACGTTGTTTGAAGATAAATATTCTAATAATTAATCAATATGCAATCATGGGAGCATTCGATCCAACCAGTGATTATAGTTAGTTAAGGGACTTTTATCATTGGATCAAAACATATTCAGCTGTGCGTGTCTTGACACATAGAATATAAGAGAAGGTAAATTGGGGAAGAACAATATAAAAGAAGATCAGTTTGGTTTGATTATGTTTTAGGTGCAATATACTTTCTAATAAAATGTTACTACGTGAGGTCAATTCTAATTTGGGCTATGGAGCTTTCTCACGTGTTTTGCAGGTCAATGAAGGTGATCAATTTACAAAAAAGTTTAGTTTCTGTTGGAAAGTAATTGCACATCAAAATGGTATGGGTGTGTAGGCGTGCAATACGACTCTTTGGGTCGGGTGTGGGTAGGGTGGAATACTCCCTCATTCTACTTTTTTCTTTTGGTTAACGCACGCGTGGTAAAGCTTTTTAATTAAGCTGATCACTCCCCAAAAAAAGCTACCCAACCCAACAAGCATTATATTTTAATTTCTAGGCCAAGATATATCCAAGCCATGCCATTTGGCTTTAAATTTCTCTCTCTCTCTCTCTAGTGTCCACTAACTCTCACCATACAAATTCTCTTTAATTTCTCCAAACCAACTACACATTCTCGTAAACTTCACCACACTGTCCCATTATTACACTCTACTCTTTCATGGCTCAACTACAACACACGCAAAGGCACCGCCGCAGGGCCCCGTCATTCTCCTCGACCCTCCTCGACGCCATCTACCGCTCGATCGACGGGCCCGAAGAATCCTTCTCCGGGCCCCACGCCCGGCCCGCACGAGTCGAGCACGAGATCGAAAGCCTCAGACGTGCCATCAAGATCGAGAAAAGCCACACCACCACGTCATCCCACTCGGGCTCGTCCACCGATTCAAGCATATTCTCCTCCTCGTCCGAGACGGAGCCCTCCTCGGCCAGAAACCCGAAACTCGGGCCCGCGAACGCTATTCGGGCCGAGCCCGCCACGCCCAAGCGCGAGAGCCGGTTCACGAGGACCGTGTCCAGGGCCCTCAAGATCTACGGGGACCTGAAGAGTAACAAGAATCCGGGCTCGCCAGGCGGCAGGATCGCGGGCTTCTTGAACTCCATATTCAGCCCGAGGAGGAGCAGTCGGGCCCCTTTGAGGAAGTCGAGGTCGGTGAAGGACCAGATTGACGTCGATAAACGGACGAGGGCCGTCAGGTTCTGCCACGTCAGCGCGGTTCTCGATGAGGATAGCCGGGCTGGTGGGCCCGGCCGGTTTATTGTGAAGGACGCGGACGGTCGGAGAAGGTCACGTGGGTGTGGTGAGGATGAAGGGAGTGACGATGATGGGAGCTGTGCCAGCTCGGATCTGTTTGAGCTGGAGAATATCGGTCGGGCCGGGATCTATGAGGAGGAGTTGCCTGTGTACGGGACCACGAGTGTTACGATGAACCGGGCCATTGCTAGTGGATTAATGATGTAGTGCGATAATAGTTGAGCATTATTATTATTATTATTTTTATTTTATTTTTTTATTATTTTTTTTTTTGTGTGTAGGAATTGAGGTATTGGTGTATTCGTGTAAATCTGACATGATTAATTTATAGAGGTGTTATGTTGAATAGTTTTTATTCTATTGTATAATACTGTCTCATATTTTTTTTAAATGTCATTTTAACTTTATCAACCATTAATTAAATAAAATGACGTTTTGGATCTTTTGTACATTTTTTCATTATTACTCTCATTTAGCTAATAATTACACTACGTCTTTTCATATTCATTTTTCATTTTTTATTTAAAACATCAATCTCTATATTCATTAATGAGGGTTATTATTGATAAAAAAAATATTATTAATTATTGTGCAACTTCTCAAAATGACACTTATTAAAAATAGGAGGGAGTAATAACTACTGGCAGTGTGTTACACACTACTCTTAATTAAAAAAATTATACTTAAAAAATTAAAAATAAAAATCTTTATTTGAATTTCAAACATTTTTTTATATATAAAATGACACTCATTACCTGTAAGATTTGTTTGTTCTATTTTATAGTGATTATCTAACTTATATTATATGATGGGCTAGATAGATAAATTTTATTATAATTTATTTATGTACGGGTAATTTGTACCTGCTCCCCCAAATAAATTCCTACAAGCATCCCGAAGGAATTTCGTTTCTAACGATCCGCAATAAATTCATCCGATATGGAGTTAAGAAATATAAGCCCACACGCAAACCTATTGCATCATCAAACGAACGAGTAATTGAGACCCTGGAAAAAGTTAATCAATTCTCTATCAGTTAAAATTTCACTCTCCCACTTAATATTTTACAAAGAAAGGATTTCGTAAACAAGAATTTTCCATAATTAATTTACCATGCAAATATAGCAACTAAATTAATTATCATGCATATTTATATCTAATCTAACAGTAATAAAATAGGAAAGAAAATCCAACTATTATGGTCATTAATTATCAGTCCAATTTCCACATGGAAACCAAAATCCCTGTCCTAATTAAATTAATATTCCTCGATAAGATTGAACTCCTCATCACCCCAACCCATAGCAACCGCCGCCACCAACCACCGTTGCCATCGTATTGGCATGGACACTCTCGGTATAGTCTGGGCCATGCGGGTGGAAAAACCTTTCACAAACTCAAGATTCTGGAATAGGGCAACAAATTCTGGCATTGCCGACATCCCGTTGGTTTTACCGGCAGAAGAGGCTGCCCCACGATTGTTGCCGGCCCTTGACGTCTGATCTTGTTGTCCCGATTGTGACATGATTGTCGTCTAGATGCAAAAAGTGATGATAGTAACTCGAATTATGGAAGAACAAAAAGACTGAATCAAAGATTAACTCCAAGTATCTTATGGAGCCCTTCCTCTAGCGCCAAACTATTGTTATATGGAATTTAACAACGATATTAACAAGAATTTAGGACGTAAAATGCGATACATATTCGTATTTTTTGAATTATCATTAGATCGAATTTTGTTACAGGAAGTCGGTTTTTTATGCACCGAGCTATTTTTAATGCGAGAATTTAATGTCCAAAAAAAAAAGGATCCTTGTACAAGAATTAATTCTGTTATTTATAGTAACTTTTAGCTCGACATTTGAGGTTGGTACGACAACATTTAATGCAAAGTAGCTTTATAAAGTCGGTTATTCGGGCCCACATGTTATGATTGAGACATGTGTGATACCGGTTTCGTTTTCCCGTTGTTAGCATATCTGCTCCTTCGTCTCTGGCACAAGAAAATTCTTATTAGGAAGTGGAATGCAGCCTTTCTGTAAGCCCATCTTTGGTTTGGCTACTTTTGGTACTTCCTGAGAGGAGATCTTTCTTTGATAAGGTGTCCTATCGAGTTAATTACATCGAACCTATTTTGCAAACGAAATCGGTCTTTGAGGAAAGGTCAATTCAGAACAGAAGACTGGCGGTTAAGCAGCCTCTAATTAGAAAGAAGTAATGTGACCCCGGGGTATTCTGACAAAACAGTATCTTATTTATCATAGGCGATTGAATTGACATATGTCTTGTCATTGTCGATTTGAGCTCGGTTTCGGATTCCGGACCTTGGTTTAATCATGGAAGTCGGTCACCGTAGTGGGACGAAGTCGGTTTTCCATCTGGTTTGAGCCGAGTTTGTCCTATACCGAGTTTGGTCCATGCTTAGCTGAGCTTTGACGATTGATCCTCTTCACTTAACGTTTTTAAGTCCAGCTTTTTGATCAGGTCGGTTGTCAACATCAACATATATCTTGATTTTCGAAATACAGTCATTCATGCAGTCCATCAAGAAAATGATCGATTCTGCGTTTGATTTGCTAATCACCTCCTAATACTACATTTTGTGTACCATTGCAATGCATCACATGATGATCAAGACTTTAGCACCAATCTCATGAGTATATCATAAATAAACGCCAATTTACTATATCATCATATATGGTGAACAAATTTTGCAATTAAATATTCCTTATTGTCCTTGCTGTCCTTTTCTCAAAAAAGAAAATAGTTCTTTAAACAACTAACACCCTTTACTCCTAAATCTAGTCTTTAAACTCATGATCAGCCCCAATAATTGACAAGAAAAGTGAACAAACAACAAATTAGTTATTGGTAAAGTTTACTTAATTATTGTTTCATTTCTATCAAGGACCTATGATGAATTTGGTAGCTGTAAGATATGATTGTTATACAAAAGTTAAAGTGGTGATGCATATTAAGAATCTAGCAAGTAAAAGTAAGTGCATCATAGCGCACATGCAATCCAACTTCTTTACCATCAAAATGTGGGTTCATCAACTATTTTTTGCACAATTTTTCAAGTTGAGTATTATAGTGTAGTAAGTATACTTTTTTTTTTTTTTCCATGTTTAATTAAATACAATAGTATTTATAGTTAATTTTTGGCTTAATTACACATAAAATCTCCACCTTTTGTATAATTGCAAATAAAACTCAACTATTTTATCTTTGCAAATAAATACTAAACCATTATTATGTATTACAAATTTGTCTCAAAACCATTTTCCGGCTAATCTTGCTGACGTGTCCGATCAGAACACAAAAATCGCCTATAAATCACTCGAAAATCGCTCCCTCTGCCTAATTTTTCAAAATTTGGGGGTTAGCTCATAAATGTATTAGGAATGTTGGGGTGAACTTGATTTTGGGGGTGGAAGAATCGCGTCATAGAGAAGAGAAGAATCACTGCATTTTTTTTTTTTTTTTCAATTTAGGGAGAAGAACTCGATTTTTATGAAGATTATATGGAGCAAAAAACAGGGTGATAAAATACTATTTTTCCAATTGGTACTAAACTCTATTTTTGGTTAATTTATTGACATATGATGCGGCAAAAACATGGTGAGGAGTTTAAAAGATTGACTGACACACAAGGCTCATCAGTGTCACGTAAGATTTCTGATCGAACACGTCAACAATGATTGATGGGAAAATGGTTATGAGATAAATTTGCAACATATAATAAAAGCTTGGTATTAATTTGCAAAGATAAAAAAATTGAATTTTATTTGCAATTACACAAAATGTGAGGATTTTATGTGCAATTAAGCCTTAATTTTTTCCCCTCCTCACCTATACAAAAGGTCTGACATTGTCTTGGTTTAAACTTTTCTAACCGCCATAAAACTCCTATATTCAGCCAAACTATCTCCCAAACTATGATTTTTCCAAGGAAACCTCCTTTGACCATTGAAATGACGGTTTTAATATTGATAAAGCTCACACACCGTGTTGATCAGCTCGTGCCTGTCTTTCAAATTGCTAACCACGGCCTTGAATCGAATCAGATAAAAAATGGAAGAAATCTTAGGTTAATTTAGAGAAAAAAAAAAATATGCACAAAAAATTGACGGTTGATCACGAAAATTGCACGAACCTAATTGCAAGTGATACTCTGTCAGCATCGAAGCTCCTGGCTGAAATCCAGCAGCCCCACGGTGTGGTGCAACCCCGATTTGTGCTGTAATCTTTCGAATATAAATATTATGTGTCGTTTTAAACAGTTACCACTCTATTATTTATTCATTATTTGTTGTACATTTATGTATATAATAATATCACAATAAGAATATAAATATTTTATATATTAATTTTTTATTGTACAAATATTTTTTCTTAAATACTTTACACGAGTGTCGTACTAGTATATATTATGTATGAACTAAATATGCACTATGTATGAGTTAAATGTACAATATAGTGTCCATGTCAAAATATACAAAATTGATATCAACTAAGTATGCATTATGAATAAACTAAACACGTATTACATATAAACTTAATATACATTATGTATGAACTAAATATGTTCTATGTATGTCAGTTCTGAAACTAAGTATGCAAATCAAACTAAACATGAACTAATTATGCATTATGTATAAATAAAGAGTTTTGAGATATACAACCGACATCAACTAAGTATGCATTTATGTATGATCCAAATTTTGTATTATGCAAGAACTAAATATGCAGTATTCACGCTAAAAATATTTACCACCGATGGTCAATGGAGGTAACGATAATGCCAATCAATTATTTTTTTATTATATAATTAATTATAATCTAATAGTAATATTTTTAATTAATTAATATAAAACACAGTTGATTAATATGACTTAGTTAATTCCACATAAATTAATGTTTATAATTGAGCCCCAGAGAGGACCTACAGATTTGATGGTTATTAATGGTTTTTATCCTTGACGCTCAAAATTAAAATTTAACCCACTTTTAATTGAAGCCCACAATACGATCGCTCCCATTATTTGATAGGATCTTGCCACGTTTAAATATTTCATCATAATCCACGTTAGCCGTACGATCAAAATACGAGCTTAGTAAACGCAGAAACCTTTTCCGCGTTGGTTTCCCCAAATAATATTCTTCGTATTCGATTCCGTGTAAAAGCATAAGGGGCCAAGACACCCTCTTTTGTCTGATTATGATTGCTTCTGAAAATTTTCAGATACAATAATACAAGGAACTCCAATTGTTGTTAGATAAGGATTTTTTCGCCAATTTGAAATTTTTCGAGGGAGCCAATCGATCCGCAGGCCGCCATGAGTTTTCTTTTCGGAAAGAGGAAGACTCCCGCAGGTCCGTTTTGAATGTTCTTCGGATATCTATGTTTCTCTTTTTGGGATTAATTTTGTTGTTCATGCTATTTATGTTTGATTGAATGATTATGGGTATCCATTTAATAAGTTACATGATTTTGTTCAGAAGGGAGGAGACACTTTGTCTGTTTGTGTATAATTAAATTAATTCGTTATGAATTTGTTGGTAACTAAAGATGATATTTTTCATGAAAGGCGAGCTTGTTACGTGATCTAAAGCTCTTTTTGATCAGGATATAGTTAAGGAGAAGCTAATCTTTAGTGAGCTATAGCGAGTTGCTTAAACTAGTTGAGGGAGTAATTTGCGAGTGAGCTTAAAGGATGTAATCGAAAATTTGGAACTATTGGAACCATCAACACATATGTTCAAGATAAAGGATGCTAGTTTTGTGCTGCTTTGTTGCCTACTTCATTAAGACATTGTGTGGTGTCTCTTTTTCTTTGTAATCACTGTCCCAAGAATTTGATTTGCTCGATTTTGCCAGCCTTGAAACATATGGGATTCAAATTTTTTTTGAGATGTGAAATTAAGTTAGAAGTGTCGGACTTTTTGTGCCTCGACAACTTTAATGAAAATTGTCCCTGGTTGTTGACTTCAATATGGTCCTGAAATTAATTAATGGTTTTGTTAATTTCAGTCAGGTGCCTTTAGTTATCTCTACATCAAGTATGAGTTTAATAGGACCATGCAGTTATTTCGTAGATGCTAACCTGGTTTGTTGTACTTGAGCATCTAGATTTATAAATATTGTTTCTGTGTTCTGCAGAGCTTCTGCGTGAAAATAAGAGAATGCTTGATAAATCCATTCGTGAAATAGAGAGGGAGAGGCAGGGTTTACAGACACAAGAAAAGAAACTTATTGCAGAGATAAAGAAAAGCGCCAAGCAAGGGCAGATGGTATGTGAATTCCTTCAATGTACTAAGTATATTGTGGCCATTTTTCTTGATTTTTATATCATTTGATAGTGTTCTGATTAGATGGTACACATCTGACTGGATGAGTTTGTGTAGCTTCACTAAATCTGCTGTTCTCCTCTATTGATATATAGCTTGTAAAAGCACTATTATGCTTCAGGATTTTTAACTCGGCATTTAACCTCTGTTTTAAATTGAGTATATGAGTGAACACTTAAATATTTTTTAAGAGAATAACAAAGATGAAAAACTTGTCACTTAATGAATTTTGCTTTTTTTGCGATTTGTTGGGCCAAACCAGAAATTTGTGATTGAAGGATTGTAACTGTTTCATAGAGCATGTAATTTTAACTTTAATTAGGCATATATTTTCTGAACATATAAGATAACACTTACGGACATTTGATCTATACATTGAACTGAAAGATCTGGAACCAAGCTCAGAACAACTGAAACTTGATCTGCATTTGATTTAGTGGTTTGGACAGAAGCTCAATTGAATCTAGAAGTCATCTGCAGACTTCTCAATCAAGCCCTTGTGTGATCCCAAATATTTAAAATAAATAAACTTAGTGTATTTGTTGCAGGGAGCTGTTAAGGTCATGGCCAAAGATCTTATCAGAACACGACACCAGATCGAAAAGTTTTACAAACTGAAATCTCAACTTCAAGGTGTCTCACTCAGAATTCAGGTATACATTGCCATATTAGACTAAATAAAGTTATCTTTAAACATGTGCATCAAAACTTTAATTTTCTTTTAGATTAGTTAAACCTTCATCTGGGTTTACAAACATTAACATTATATATTTATTTTCACCGTTTTGGTGTTGTTTTAAATTTAGGTTTTCATCTATTAGGAAATAGCATTTAAATGATGAAATTTCTACTACTATCACTTCGCGTGGCCTTTGTTAGACATCATAACATTACCAGTTGACTTCATCTGAATAGCAGGACATAAATTGGGCCTTCCAATTACGCAGATTGTTATACTTAAAAGTAAATAATGCCGCCATCTATTTTTTCACAATCGAAATACTTCTCGTTTCAGACATTGAAGTCGACACAAGCAATGGGGGAGGCCATGAAAGGCGTCACCAAGGCAATGGGACAGATGAATAGGCAGATGAACCTGCCATCACTCCAGAAGATAATGCAAGAATTCGAGAGGCAGAACGAGAAGATGGAGCTGACCAGTGAGGTTATGGCAGATGCCATTGATGATGCTTTGGAAGGAGATGAGGAAGAAGAAGAGACTGAAGAATTGGTCAATCAGGTTCTTGATGAGATTGGCATTGATATCAACTCTGAGGTATAATTTAAATTCTTAAACACACACACACTCACACACACACACACACTTCTCTTTTCATTTTTTTATTTTTTTTCAATATGCGCATCAATATTTTTGTGTCTTATGGCGAATTTTGGTTTACTCTTATATTGCAGCTTGTCAATGCACCTTCTTCGGCTGTAGCTGCCCCAGCTGCAAAGAATAAGGTTCCACAAGCTGAGGCAACGGGAAATGATGACGGTGGAATAGATAGTGACCTCCAGGCCAGGTTAGACAATCTGAGGAAGATGTGATGGGCTTCTGACTTGTAATGTAATATTTTTTCTGGTGATAAAAAGGCGTATTATATGTGGCTTTCTAACATTTGTGACAATTCAAGAGTATATGGTTTGGTACAGCTTAATTTTCTCTAGTAAGATTCCTTTATGTGATGTGGAATGTGTGGTTTGTTGGCTGTTTGTCAATATATGGAATCTGTGCATGCTTGAACACTAACTGGAGAATTGAGTTTTTCCATACTTTAGTGGGCATCCTTGCAGAAGCAACTTCTCGTTTATTGTTGCGATTTTTATTGTAATATGGATTTCTTCTTATCAATTTTGCTATAAAGCTATCCACACTTATTCACAAATAGTGTATTGACACATGTTCTACAAAAAATACGCTTTGGATAGGTGCCAATACATTAAGTGAAGGATGACTCCACAAGAAAATCATCCGATGACTCCATAGAATTTATATTCTTCTTATAGCTTTGCATTAGTTATTGATCAAAGCTCCGTGGAATTTGGAATTCATTGTCTAATAATTACTGACCAAGCCGTCGGCGTTTTATAAGGCCATTATTTTTTTTAAAGCAATGAAAACTAAGAGGGTATTAGTTCGTATGACCTTCTCACTTTTTTTGCTATTTCGTTCTTCCTTATTTTCTTTACACTATTGAATATCTTGTGCGATGCACGGGAAAGTAATATTAAATTTATTTTTTAAAGTTAAATGTTGGACTAAACAAACATATTAAGGTTATTTTTTAAAATTAAATGTTGGACTAAACAATAAGTTATTTTTAAAAATTAAATGTTGTATTATATGAACATATTAAGCAATTGAATAAACCTAGTATTGATTTGGTGATTTTGTATGTATTCTTTCAATGTATATACAAAAAATATTGGTATGTATATTTTTTTTAGATCACACACAAATTTAAAAGTATTTTCTAATATAAATTTCTCATTCATTTATTCATTTATTAATTGCTTTAAATTTTAAGCTTCGAGGAGGTTGGTCGAAACTGTCCTCTAAGACGGGAGGTCAGAGTAACCAGTTACATAAGCATAATATCGATCTGAGTAGCATGCAGTTCGCTTGGATTGGACCGGAAATCGCCGCAATTGTGAAGTACTAGAGAAGTGCAAACGGGATTTTTTGCTGAAATATATTATGGGAGACTGAATGTGACCACGGTGCCGAGAGGGAAATATCTATTATGTTCTTTATAGTTGTGTAATCTAGATTCTTTCTTAACCGTTAGAATGTATCAAGTTCTATAACTATAATACATTCTTATTTATTTAATTATGAATCATTCTCACAATAGTATGACAATGTATAATATTCTTGTTATTTTGGGTTCTTTTTTAAATCCTCTCGATATTATAATACATGTTTTTTTCTTTTTTTCTCATCCAAATAATATCAACTCAGTGGGGTGTGGTGGCTTGGCGTGGCGCCTGAATGTTAAAATTGTGGCTATGGCAATGGAGATAGATAGCCTTATCCATTACGACCCAACGCAGGAGCTGCCACGTCGGACAGAAGGTGAAATCCTTCCCAATTCTCCACCTCCCAATTTCCCCCTTTCCCATCTCTCACACTATCAACAAAATCACTCACATCCCCTTCCCCTTCTCATTTCACATCCAAACCAAGAAACTCACACAAAAGAAAAAAGCACAAGCAAATAACCATGGCCGCCACCTCAGCATTATCCATGGCGGTTCCGCTGGTCCGAGCTAGCCAGAAGCCGCAGCAGATCTCCGGCACCTTCTTCAAGCCGCTTCCCCTGCGGCCGTCCAAGGCGGCTCCGGCGGCGGCCGGCAAGTTCCAGGTCAGGGCTTCGTTGAAGGAGAAGGCCATCACCGGGTTGACCGCCGCCGCGTTGACCGCGTCCATGGTGGTTCCGGACGTGGCGGAGGCGGCCAGCGGCGTCTCGCCGTCGCTGAAGAACTTCCTGCTGAGTATAGCCGCCGGTGGAGTTGTTGTGACCGCCATTATTGGTGCCGTGATAGGCGTGTCCAACTTCGATCCCGTCAAGCGGAGCTGACGGATCTTTTTCCCTCCATCTGTTTACCATATGCGTGTGTATCAATCGAGTATGTGAAGTTATTACTTTTGCTAAATAGACTACTATTTGTCGTTTCAGTTTCACCGTCTTGCTGAATAAACGAATCAATTCCTCACAAATTCGCAGGATAAATGGACACGACAATTGCCGTTATTGTTTTTTTCTCGTGTTTTATCTTATTTGTTTTGTTTTCTTGTGAGCATTGAAATGAATTGAGTTGTTGGTGTAATGATTGTATCAACACAGAACATATAAAAAGCACAGAATTCCCAAAAACAACCTTAGGCTATTCCCAAATAAATTACTCAGTGGAATTTTATGTTCACAAGACAATCTGAGAAATTTACAGAACGTTATTCCAAAAATGCTCCGGACACAGTATATGCCTTTCAGAATCGACTTGCTTAAAAATACTGAGATGCGACAGGTATGAAAGTATACTTTATCCTTACACGCTACTACAGTTAAATCAGCCAACACCTAGCATTATCCAAGACGATCTTTAATCTAAAATGGGAACCAACAAACTGTTTTAATCTTCATTCTTATGGTAATCAAATTTTATCTTGGGCCCTAAATCACAGTTCAAGACATGTGGGCTTCAGTGCCCCATCTCCCGTTTAAATAAAAAAATGCATAATTATGTTTTGAAATGCTATGATTTTATTTATGTTGTTTGTTAACGTATGATATATGCATATTTGTTGAAATAAGATATATGCATAACCATTTAATTCTAAACACGTCTATCCGGAGACAGACTCACATCAATTTATGCATAGATGACACAAACACTATGAAACAATAATGGGAATGAATTTGACAAAAAGTTGAAAAAGGGTGATAAATTTATAACATTAAAGTATTTATTCAAACCAAAGTTAGATCTTTACCAATGGCCGCATAATCCCCACTTATACATAGAATAATGAAAATAAGGCTATCATGAGAAATCCCATTTTAATCTGTATATAGTTTGTAGCACACCAGAAAAAGAAAGATGAAAGAAAAAAAAAATAAATAAAAAAAATCCGACCGGGTTTCGAAATTAGAACACTTAGCGAGTTTTTTTTCAATTGTTCCTTGGAATCCCGAGCCTCTGGCGAAAATCCTCTTCCATAAGTGGGATTCCATCTCTAAGCTTTACCTTTGGTTCCCATCCCAATAATTCCTTTGCCTTTGTAATGTCCGGTTTTCTCTGACGAGGGTCGTCTGGTGTGTTCTCAACCGTTATGATTTTAACATCTGGATTTATCATCTGGGCGACGAAAATGCAGATAGAGAATGGGTTAATTACCATCTCAATATTTATTTTTATTTTTATTTTTTATTTTGCTATAACGGGAATCTTAGAAAGTTGTTCAGGGACTTGATAATAACCTCTTTGACAGTCTCGGCAAGCTCGGTCATTGTAAACTCGCCTGATCAGGTAGAAAGCCCAAGAATAGCGAGTCAATTGTACAAATATTATGAAAATAGTTATAGATGATACTACCCTTGAGGTTTAATCTAATTTCGTGCGAAAGGCAAAATTCACAAATTCTTTTTTTTTAATCTAATCTTGTAAAGCAAATACAGAAGCTGCGGTGGAAAAAAAAAACAGAAGTCTTGAATATTTTTTGTGATCTATAAGAATGTAAAGAAAGAGCAGCCGAAAAAATGGATTGCTAATGTTTTCCTACAATACTTTACTTACAATTTCAGTACTTCCTTTACTTTTTTGTTTGTAGCCCGTTTATTATCTGTATAATATATTAAAACAGTTGTGTTTTTATAATTTTCAACTTGACAAATATACTTTACATATAAATATTAAAAAAACAATAGTAAGAACATGCTAGATAGTTTATATGGTCTGTTTTAACTCGTTTTTTAGTTATACCGGTACTTCTATGATTGTAATTACAAGTATCAAGTTATATTATACCGTATTCATCATTAAACAATTCAACATTTCAAATAAATTTTCCTATATAGACAATTTCTAGTTTTATACTGTTTTCGAAAGATTACTTGATACCCAAAGGGCAGTTTTTGCCGTCAGTTCCTATTTTTCATGTGAATTATCAATAATATTGAGAGAGAGAGAGGAGATGGCAGATAGTTTTAACCTGGATTTCCAATGTTAATAGGCCCTGTATTTTCTCCTTCCATCAGCCGAATAAGACCATCAACCTTCAACAGCACAAAATTGAAGCAATTATTATGTCAATAGTGTATCCAATCAAAACTTAAATAAAAAAAATACAAGATGCTTCTTTCAGACCATATCAGATACATAACAGAAGCTTCTTGTCTGAGTTCCAGGCAATTGAACTGTTAGAGGTTCATCACTGCAGATGCAATAGAACGATAATATTAGATTAATAGCCACTAAAAAGAGTAATATCTCGATTCATTTTTAAATGAAATGAAGAAAAAAAAAATGCATTCAAATGACATTACCGTATCGCTTGAGCTATGAAATTGCTGACAACACGGCCATCGTCGATATTCATGCGGGGCCCATAAGTATTGAAGATTCTAGCAATCCTTATTTCTGTTGCAAAATTTTGCAATTTCAAGTCGGTAAAAGGATCAAGCATGTGAATTACAATCGATTCTAGGCGGTAAGAGCAAAAGTTAGTTACCTATTCCATGCTGCCTATGATAGTCAAACATCAAAGTCTCAGCAACTCTTTTTCCCTCATCATAACAGCTCCTAACACCTGCAGGGCCACAATAAATATAACGATATTAAAATTAGAAGAAAAAAAATAAAGAGAAAAGGATAAAAACACAAAGAAAGTCAACCATGTAAAATGTATTTTACACAGAAAAACTTAGATACCTATAGGATTCACATTTCCCCAGTAGGTTTCATCCTGAGGATGCACAAGAGGGTCACCATAAACCTCTGATGTTGATGTCAGCAAAATCCTTTTAAAACAGTACAAAGTGAATTTATGGATACATTGAAAAGAATACTATAAAAGTAAAATGATCATGTGATGGAGCTTCCAAACCTTGCTCCTACTCTTTTGGCAAGCCCTAGCATGTTTAGAGTCCCAATTACGTTAGTCTTTATCGTCTGTAGAGTAACATTTCAATGCAAAAGACAATAAATCAACATTTAGTGTGTCGCTTTACACCAAATCATGGTAAAACATATTAGAAGAATGACATTAGTTAAAAAAAAATATCAAGTAATATATTTAAAGGGGAAAAAAACATTAATACGAGGATTTTATGTTATTACTGACCTTCACAGGATTGTATTTGTAAAAAATTGGAGAAGCAGGGCAAGCAAGATGGTAGATCTGATCGACTTCAATTAACAATGTCTCTGTCACATCTGAAAAATTGGCAGACAAAAAACAACAAGAAAAATAAATAAATAAATAAAAAATGATCCAGGCAGCAATATCAGCACAACCACGATCTCAAAGGATATTAAAAATGCTTCGTGTTTACAAATGCTGAATCCTCATTTCAGAAAGTAACACAATTCATAATCAGATCAAAATCAAGAAAGGTATGAATTAACATGCAACAGATTCCAACAAAGAAAATCTTGAGAACTAATTGAGTAGACGTGATGCGAACCGTGCCGAATAAGCTCAAACCGTGGATGACCGATCCATTGCTTCAGATTGTCCTTTGAGCCAGTAAAATAGTTGTCCACAACAATGACCTGAATTAAGAAGCCAGTGAAGCACTTATAACAAAGTAGTGAAATTATTGGGAACCTGTGTGAGCAAAATTTGTTTATGTTCTCACCTCATTCTTTTCATTTTCCATCAGCTTGTCAACCAAGTGAGATCCAATGAATCCAGCTCCACCCGTAACCAGGATTCTCATATTTGCCTGTCAAACCAAATCTAAATTTAGTAAAAGGAAATGCGGAACCTAGTAAACTATCAACTATTGGAAAACTACTCCTTTCTTTCTAAAAGCAAAAGTACCA